AACATTGAATTGCTCTAAAAGCCATTTAGTAATATTTAATCAAGAATCTCAAAAAGGTTCTTACCTTCAGGAAATTGTTCTTCTAAAAACCACTAAAACCACTGCCAGAAAAATATGTATGCACAAAGTTGTTCATCACACAGTTAAATGTTTATCACACAGTTAAAATTTGGGAAACTTAAAGGTCCAACATTAGGGAAATGTTTAAATTATTGTCAGGCAGAAAATGAAATACAGCCATTAAAATTGTTTTTGGACAATTTTTTAATGATGTGAAAATGTTTACAATATGAAACTGAGGGCTGGGGATGTGGCTCAAGCGGTAGCGCGCTCGCCTGGCATGCGTGCGGCCCGGGTTCGATCCTCAGCACCACATACAAACAAAGATGTTGTGTCCGCCGAGAACTAAAAAATAAATATTAAAAAAATTCTCTCTCTCGCTCTCTCCCTCTCTCTCTCTAGAAAAAAAAATATGAAACTGAAAAAAAAGGATGCAAAAAAGCTATATACATATGATATGGTCCTAATTAAGTGATGTATATGCATAGAAAAGAAACACCAAAAAGTTAAAAAATTATTATCGTGTGTGGTGGGATTATAGGTTATATATATATTTTTCTTTTTACCTATCTGCATTTAAAAAATTGTCTAGCATTGGATCTACCCACCTATTTAGCCAATAGGTGGCAATCCCTGCCCTCCACCCAACCCATGCAAACCAGTTCATTAGTCCTTTATGAGCATTCGTGGGCCCATGTGCAATACTCCCTTCTCTATATAACCCTCCCCTCCACCCCTGGTACTCCTGGCCATCTGGTGTACTGTGGCTGCTAGGAAGTCTGCCTTGGTTACAGCTAAGCATCAATCTCCCACCTACTCAGCATCAAAAAGAATCTCAGTGGGTTTTCATTGTCTTCAAAAAAAAAAAAAACAGAGCTTGGGAAAGGAAGGAGTGATCCTCCCACAGCCTCTGCTTTTCACATTGAGGTTTTTAATCTTGAGCCTTTGGGGTCTTTCTTACCTCTAAACAGTTTCTTCCCTCCCAGCCTCTTCCCACTATGGTTCTTTAATTGCCTCCCACCCCCGGAACCCAGGCCCTTGAGGGCCCCCAATTTCTATGCACTCCTGTTTCTCTGAAGAACTGCTTCTCTTCCCTTCTGGCTTGCCAATGATGCCAGCCTCCCTAGGCCACACCACTCCTAGCAGACATTATATCTGGGAGAAGAGGACACCTGAACTTTCAAAAAGATCCTTGGCCAGAACAATTTCCTAAGTCCCATCTATGCCCAGATCCTTCTGTAACCAAGCCATTTTGCTCATTTCTCAGCCTCTCCCAGCAGCCACCTCCTCTTACCTTGTCACCTCAGTCACACAGCACTGTTTATAGTACCGTGCAATTGTATCCATCTGTACTTGTTTATAAGTCCCCACTGGATTTTAGCCAAACCCCTTAACCTGTCATTCAAGGACTTTCACCTGCTGACCCCGATTTATCTTTCCTGTCCTCATCTCCCAGCTCTACCTATCCTCCATGCACTCTTTGCTCCAGTACAGTCACATCAAATTTTCCAATCTTCTCTGAGCACATTTTATACCTCATGTGCCACTATGCCTTTTTCATGGTTTTTCCCCTCCCCAAATGCATATCCCCATTTTTATGGCTGTTCTGCTTCTCTAGGGAAAGTCTGTCCATTTTACAATCACCCCTTCCTTTCTTTTACCACAGAATCTACCAGTCCAGCAGTTAGATGTATATATAACTGCCTTTCCTAGGGTGAAGGCTAGGTTTTAAACAACTCTGAATTCCCCAGCATTAGTGTCCCTTTAATTAAACTGTTAATTTGTGAATTTCCTCCTCCTCCTCTTTTGGACTGGAAGGTCCTAAGGGCATCTCCCTCCTGTGTCATATCCCTGCACTGTCTCTGGGACAAGATTTACTACTGATAATGACAGATCCTGAGCTCTCCCCTTAACTCTGAAATATGCCCAAATTTTTTGAGAAAGTGATTCCTCTTCCTCTCAAAATGATGTGGTAATAAAGGGATGTGAACCAAACACCTGAGCTCTAGCTCTGACTTTTGACAGCAAAGTGAGAATTTTGAGAAATACTAAAAGTGAGAATTTCCTGTGCTTCACTTCTCTTAACTCTAAAATGGGAATTGCACTACCTGCCTTCCCTATTTTACCAGAACAGTCATAGGGAAGGCACAGAGCTGGTGACTGGAGGTAAGAGATCCCTGAGGGATATGTCCTGGCATAGTATGGTGCCAAGGTGGTGGATCCCACCTTGCTCTCAGGCCAGGCAAGGGCCAAGAGTTTCCTAAGAACTAATGAGAAAGCTAACAAAGCAGGACACAGAAGTCTGCAGCAGTGGAGGCTGACAAAGGAACACACTCAAGCATCTTCTTCACGTGTGAAACAAGTTTGTGGCTCCTCTTACAATGCAAGTGCTGCTGTTCCTGGGTTCCCAATTTGCCTTTATGGCTGCTTATTGAGGGCAGGGGGTGGATAGTGGCAAGGAAGATCACTGGATTGTCTATTTGTTGAGATATATAACTTGAACAAGTTACGGAACCCTCAAGTCCCAGTCGTCTTGTCTGTAAACTAAGGAAAACAGCACTTACCTTGAAGTTATTATGAGAATTAACTGCTATGAGCCACCTAAGTGGTTTAGCAGAGTTCCTAGCAGTCCCTTGCTTTGAAAGGTTCAGCCTTCAACACAGCTCTGGCCTAGGTATAAGTTACCAATATTGTGGGTAGGGCAGGGCAGGACGGTGGTGAGGTATAATTACTGAAACCTTATGACCAAGATGCCAAGATGTCACAATTTCAGAGTCCTGTTTTCCCTTAAGTCAATAAGCACTTGCCAGTTTTCAATTGGGAAAACACTATTGCACCAAAGCCACTCAGCAGCTGCCAGAGACCAGCCTCCCAGGTGCCAGCTGAAAGAGGGCAGAGGGGAGGAGATCATCCAGGGCTCAGGTTGTTTGGTAGGGAGCAGAACCAGGTTCTACCCCCCACTTTCTTGTCCCACTGGTCACAGCTGCACATTTCCAGCTCTAAAAGGGAAGAGCAAGTTAAATCTTCTTAACTTAATGGTTCTCCAGGTTGGCTACACATGGGAATCACCTGGGGAAAATTTTAAATTTTCATGCCTAGACTGTACCCTACACCAATTAAATCAATATATTTTTAAAAAGGCTCTCTAGTAAATGCCAACGTACACCCAAATTGAGAACTGGTGTAGGCCAGGGTTTTCCAAACTTGCCAGATGACAAAAATTATTTATATTAATTTAAAATACAGTTTCTCAGGCTCTGGAATTAACATTATTACTGAAACCTACTGATTCTAAGACATACCCTTTTAAAATATGAGTACTTTTAAAACATCTTTGAAAGCAAGGTGATCTTCCAGTCAGTGGTCTGTAAGACTTCATGAAACAGAAACAATCATGCCAGGTGAATTCTCAGGATGAGGCAAGCTTGGGGGAAAAACAATTCCCTGGGGCAGTACTTCCCAATCTTAATATCCTTAAAGTCACTTCTTTTATATATTTATTTTTTAGTTGTAATTGGACACCATACCTTTATTTATTTATTTCTATATGGTGCTAAGGATTGAACCCAGGGCCTTGCACATGCAAGGTGAGCACTCTACCACTGAGCCACAATCCCAGCCCCTTAAAGTCACTTTTGATCTTGTTAAAATGCACTCTGAATTGGAAGATCTGGATTTAGGCCCACCCCCAACTGTACTTTCTAACAAAATTCTAGGTCATAATGTTGTTGGTCGTTACACTACATTTTGAGTAGCAAAGTTCTAAAGAATGTTGGCCTGAGGAGGCTCCACCCATGACTCATTTAAATGAAACAACGGCATTGAGAAATATGAGCAGTGGAAATTCTTCCATGTCTGTGAGGTGACTGCACCCTCATTTCTCCCTGGTTAAGGCAACTGGGATGAAGGCCAGAGTGAGAGCTGCCCCAGCCTCAGAAGACTAAGTCAAGACTCCAGTTGCTACAGGAAGCAGAGTTTGTTGTGTGAGGCAACACAAACCCCTCTCTAAATACCAGCAATGTTCACTTGCCAAGTTAAGTTGGGCATCAAGTAGCCTTGATGGTCGTGGGAAGCAGTCCTATTCTCTCTATCATGGACCCTTTTCCTTTCACTTATTCATTCACCAACTCTTGGATGAGAGTGCACTAATAAACTACAAGTTCTGAGGGTTCAGAGATGAATCAGATTTGGTACCTGACCTTCGGGGGGAGGAATTCACACTGGCAAACAGATCGTTAAACATGAAGAGCTAAATGCTAAGAACAGAAACACAAGAGATGGGCCCACGCAAAAGAACAATGGTAGTATCTTCTTGGAGCAACAACCACTGGAAAAGCTGCATAAAAGTGTCCTAATCTATTCAATCTTTTCAATCCTGAACAAAAATTCTTTGCCAGAACCAGTCTGCTCTGATGCAAGAGTATATTTTGATTTATTGAGGCCCTTGAAACGAAGACCTTGTAATCTAGAGGCCCAGCATGAGGAATGCTTCCTACATTTGTGCCCCTAACCTATAGCTCTACAATACAAGTAATTCCAAGGGCGCAGGTGGCTTTCAGGAGACGAGATTCCCAAAAGGATGGAGGTGGGCATATTTCATTCCAAAGAGCTCCAGTACCTACCTGTACCCTTTCCTCCTGTGTCAGAATCTGAATCACTTCTCTCATTACAGAACGTTTGATTGAGTCTTTGCCCTTTGCTTATTGGCAAAGCTCTTAATTGGCTTGACCCATCACATTGCTAGACATAAAGACTACAATCCCTAGACTAAGACGAAGGTGTCCAGTTGGGGTAGGGAGTCTCAACCAGGGGAGGCAGGGTACAACAACCTATAGCCCGGCTGTTACCCAGCCACATGTAAATCAATTTAGGGAAGCAAGAGATCGATACTCCATCTGGACTTAGTTTTTCCTTTTCTTCCATCTCACATATAGGAAAGTTTACAGGAGAAGCCTAGAAGCCTAAGGACGTAGCTGAGGAGGGAACAGCAGAGATGGGGAGTGGAGCCAGTACTGAGGACAAAGAACTGGCCAAGAGGTCCAAGGAGCTAGAAAAGAAGCTGCAGGAGGATGCTGACAAGGAAGCAAAGACTGTCAAGCTGCTATTGCTGGGTGAGTGAGAGGCAAAGAAGAGCCAGAGAAGGGGAAGGTAATGCTTCTTCCTGTTTTCCTGGAGGGTGTTTCAGCCCACCCCAAGGGAGGAGGGAGGGCAGGCCAGTTTCCCTCTTCCCTATCCAGTCTCAAGCTAGGAGTTAGGGAGCTCTAGGGCCATTTATGTGAAGTCTATATAGCCACTCCAAGGGAACCCAGGATGCCAAAGCTACTGGAATTTTTCTCTTCTTCCTTGAACTAGTAATAATCCAAGAGTGAGGTTAAACCCACCATCTCCAAATGTAGCACCTCACTTCGATTTTGCAAATCCAAGAACCCTAACCTTGCAGACACTTACCCAATCTGCAGTGAGAGAACTCTGGTCCAAAGAATCAGACAGGACCTTCCCTTACCAATGGATTCAGCAGTTCTGCCATACAATTCTCCTACATAGTCCCAGGCATAGATCCACTGGTTCTTGCCAAGTACATTGGTTCCTTCTGGCTTTCAGTAAAAATTTTGGAAGTAGGGAATCCTGATGTGGGAGGAATGGGATCTTTATCCAAATAAGTCCCCTCCTGTTTTCTATTAGGTAACTGCCTCTAAAACCCCTGACAGATGGGAGGTTCATCAACTTGATGAGCTCCTAAGCAGATCACTGGTCTGTACTGAGAAAATAAAAGCATCTCAGTGGGTCAGTCAGGGAAATTGTTCATGACCATAAATAGAACCAAGACAAGAAAATTTGACAACAGGCTTAAGGAAAAAAACAAACAAAACAAAAAAGCACCAGTAGTACCACAGGAGTAGGCTAGCTAGAGCAAGTGGGGCCTGGATACCTGGGCTGGGTTTCCAAGCTCATAAGGAGCCTGGGAATTGAAGCAGAAGCTAAAGCATGTCCTTTTCTCAGCCTACTGTGGCACAGCTTAAGGACACACTAGAGGAGCATCTCTATAAGCTCAACCCAGGTTCCGAGAAGCTCAGAAGTTACACAAGGGGAAATGGAGGTGGTGGGGCCACTGAAAGACCTTTTAAGCTTAAAGCAAATTCTAGGTTCAGAATAAGCAGCTTAGAGGGAACCAGCACAAGCTAAGTGGTAGGAGGTTGAGGGATCAGGGTAGCATGGAGTAAAGGAGGGTCAAAGGGAATGTGAATTTTTTGTGTGTGGTACTGGGGATTGAACCCAGGGCCTTATGCATGCAAGGCAAGAACTCTACCAACTAAGCTATATCCCCAGCCCGGAATGTGAATTTTTTTTAATATTTATTTTTTATTTGTAGTTGAGCACAATACCTTTATTTCATTTATTTTTTTAATGTGGTGCTGAGGATCTAACCCTGGGCCCCACACGTGCTAGGTGAGCACTCTACCGCTGAGCCACAATCCCAGCCCAGAAGGTGAATTTTTGAAGTGGAAAGAGAAGAGAGCATTAGGATATTTTAGTCAATAAAGGGAACCATAGAGAAAAAAATATTCCAGTAAAGAGGCCCAGCTTTCTCCAATCCTACCCAAGATTACTCACCTGAGTCAAAAACAGTGAAAAAATGTGTCCAAGGAATTCTTCTGAATCAATTAGTGTTTTTCAATGGGAGGGTTTTGACCCTCAGGAGACATTTGGGGAGTATCTGGAGACACTTTTGGTTGTCACAACTAAAGAGTGGGATGCTGCTGATCTGTAGTGAGTAGAGGCTAGGAGTGCTGCTAAATATCCTGCAATGCACAGGGCAGTACCGACTAAAAGAAAATCTACCCCAAAAGGTAAATAAGTGCTGAAGTTGAGAAATTCTGCTCTCAACCCAGGGCAAATGGCCTGAGCTCAAGGAGACAGAAATTGAGGGCAGCAATCATTCCTCTAACAAGTTCTCCCCTTACAAGGCTCCCAAGCAAGCAATGGCTCTGACTCCTCACAGACCATCTACTGGAATGTTGGGGAGAACTGGTGGAAACTGGAAGCATAAGCATTTCTCCTTCCAGGTGCTGGGGAGTCAGGAAAGAGCACTATCGTCAAGCAGATGAAGTGAGTAGGAACAAAGCCCCAAAGGACTGTGGTTGGGGGAAGTACTCAGTGGAACCAATGGAGGTACTCAAGAGTGAAAGGCTCTTCAGCCTCATGGAAACTGAGTATAAAAACCTGATTCCCACTCTGCACTTTGGGATAGCAGAACTAGAGAGATGGGGTTCTTATGACCTTTTAAGTCCCCCTAGATTCCCAATCCCTTAGGTCTGGTTATTTAGATTCATCTAAAAGCTGGGTGTCTGCCCCTTGAAGGATCATTCACCAGGATGGGTATACACCAGAAGAATGCCTGGAGTTCAAGACTGTCATCTATGGGAATGTGTTACAGTCCATCCTGGCTATCATCCGGGCTATGTCCACACTGGGCATTGACTATGCTGAACCAAGCCGCGCGGTACGTGATTAATCTTATGTGGTTAAGGGTGGAAGCAAGAAAGGCTAATGAAAAAAAGAAAAAAAAAAAGCGTGCACACACACACACACACACGCACAAAAAAAAAAAAAGACCAACAAACAATGAGGGAAATTGGGTAAGAAAAAAAAACTTGTTTAACTAAAATCCCATATGCCAAGTTTTAAATCCTAGTCCAGAGAAGTAAGCAAACCTCACTTTTATATTTACAAAACTGTTCTCAGCTTCTCCCCACCCCTACCTTTTTTTTTTTCTTTTGGTACCAGGGATTGAACTCAGGGGTACTCAATCACTGAGCCACATCCCCCCCTTTCTTGTATTTTATTTAGAGACAGGGTTTCACTGAGTTGCTTAGTAACTCTGTTGCTGAGGCTGGCTTTGAACTCTCAATCCTCCTGGCTCAGCCTTCCGAGTTGCTGGGATTTACAAGTATGCACCACTGTGCCCGGCTTCTTCTCCCTTTTTGTCTTATTTTACCATTTAAATTGCTCTTCTTGCCCTAGTCATAAAACTTTTAGAAGCTAAACCCCTAGTTCTAGTATGAGCCTTTTCCTAAACCATTGAAAAAGCAAAGGCCTCTCTTCCATCTTATTTCATGGTCAATGTAGCCTTTAAACTTCCAATCTCCCTACAGTAAAGGACACACATTTTGTGGCAGTCCACTTTCAGACTAAGGATAGAAGCTGGGAATAACAGAGAAGAAGCACCTGTGATCTCAGATCCTATAGGCATCCCAGGGCTGGATATATTGCCCACTCTACATCTGAGCACACTTAAAGTGTGCTTTAACTGGAGACTGCCACATTTAACCACTGGTAGCAATGCAAAATGCTTTCCATTCAGCAGTGTTCCTAGAAAGCCATTGCTCATATCATTCTCAGCCAGGTTTCTGTGTTACAGGATGATGGGCGACAGCTCAATAACCTGGCCGACTCCATTGAGGAGGGGACCATGCCTCCTGAGCTGGTGGAGGTCATCAGAAAGTTGTGGAAGGATGGTGGAGTTCAAGCTTGCTTCGAAAGAGCTGCAGAATATCAGCTCAATGATTCAGCATCCTAGTAAGATTCTGACTGGGGAGGCGGCGGGATGATGCTTAGGCAATCTTCCAGGATTGCCTTAAATTTCTGGCATAGAAAGCTGGAGACCCACACAATAAACTTAATGCCACACAGGTACCTGCCAGTTCCCACCACTCTGCATTACCACACATGGCTACAAAGCAGAAGAGACAAAATTCAAAACAGAGGTGCTCTGCCTAGCAGCCCTCAGCTCCGTTCTTTTAAGTTGAACACTTAGCCTCTTCCTTCAGAATCAAAAGATAGCCCTGTGGTTCTGCCACACACTCTCTCAGGAGACATGTAATGCATTGAAGGCTCTTTCAGGGTTGATTTTTCAAGTTGGTTTACTCAGGCTCTACTGGATAACCAAGCAGGAATCAAAGTTTCCTTCACCATAGCATCTATGTCAGAATATTAGGGCAGGGGACTCAGAAACCACCAGGGCAAACCAAAAGAAGGTGATCAGGAATCATAGACTAGCAACTTTGCAAAGCTGCTTCCAAAAGACACAGACAGAGACTGAGTTATCAAGTGTGTCTGTAACAGGAGATGTCATAGATGGGCATGAATTTTGCAATTAAACAGACCTGCATTAAATTCCTGTTTGGATCATTTACTCTCTCTAGATTGCTCCCTTTCCAAGGCACAGTCCCTGCTAGATGTGCCATGTGTACTGTCTTGAGATCCTTTACACATCTACACGATAAGCCTTCAGGTAGATAATACTTTTTACTAGTACTAGTTTATAATCGAAAAACCATTTCAGCGAGGTCATATATGTAACTATCAGAGGCTAGATTTGCATTCAGTTCAGCTTGACCACAAAGCTTTCTTACAGCATACCACAAAGTCTTTTGATCTCAGGCAAGTTATTTAACTCTTTAAATTTTCCCTTTAATCATAAAATGGGAATATGCATCTTGAAGGTGTATGAGGTTCAATGAGAATTTTAATGTTAAAATACCTGGCATACATTAGGCATTAGTGTTAATTTTCGTTCCGTTTATCTCAGTCATTTCATTTCACATCTGCCTTCTTCCTATCTTTTCTTTTCTTTTTGTTTTTGGTACTGGGGATTGAACTCAGAGGCACTCAACCACTGAGCCACATCCCCAAACCTGTTTTGTATTTTATTTAGGGACGGGGTCTCCCTAAGTTGCTTAGGGCCTTGCTTAGTGGCTAGGGATGACTTTGAACTTTTGATCCTTCTGTCTCAGCCTCCTGAGCCACTGGGAATACAGGCATGCTCCACTGCACCAAGCTTCCTATCCTTTTTAAAAAACTCTTACTTTTCATGCCAATTTTCAAAGATATACAAAAGTGGACTAAAATAATGAATCACCTAGTTCCAATAGTTAATTCATGGCCAACTCTTTTAATTTACCCCTACACTCAGTTACTTATTTTTGCAGCACTGGGGATTGAATCCAGAAGTTCTCCAAGCTATATCCCCAGCCCTTTTTTGAGACAGAGTCTATTGAAATCGCCCAGGCTGACCTCAAATTTGTAATCCTTCTCCCTCATCCTCCTGAGTAGTTGGGGTAATAGGTGTGTGCCACTGCACCTGGCTTCACTACATTATTTTAAGGCAAATCTCAGATATCATTTCATCCTATAAACTATTTCTAAAATATAAGGATTTTTTTAAAAAGAAAAGCACAATATCATCATCACAATATTTAATAATACCTTAATATAATTAATATCCAAATCAGTGTTCAATTTTCCCCTATTAGCTCAAATGATTTTCCCCCAATGTGATTCAGGATGAAGTCTATGTATTGCCTTCATGTCTTGGGTCTCTAGTTTCTTTCAGTCTACTCTTGCCTCATGATGGAACTCTGGTCACCCCATTTAAACCAGTCAATCTCATTCAGTCTAGAAAAGCTTGCACTCATGCAAAAATCCAAGGATAACTTAATCTGATTTGACTTAAATTGGATGGAACTCCTGCCTCAAATGGGCAGTCCCTTAGCCCATTGCTTACTTTTTTTTTTTTTTTGAAGGACACATAATGGTTTGAAAGAAAGAATCCTAGATTTAATTATATGGATTCCAGTTCTGTTTCTATCACCATATTACTTGTGTGACTGTGGGCAAGATGCTTTACGTTTCTTCACCTTGGTTGTGGAGAATGTAATGTCATCAATACAAACTACTTTTCTCTAGCTACCTGAACCAACTGGACAGGATTACAGACCCGGACTACATTCCTAATGAGCAAGATGTTTTGAGATCTAGAGTGAAAACTACAGGCATTATTGAAACCAAGTTTTCTGTCAAAGACTTGAATTTCAGGTGAGTACATGATTCCCTGGGGCATCTCAGACACACACATGTAATCCTAAAAAGGGACATGGGCATGCTTCTAGGCCTTTGCTGAAACCCAATCTAAATTACTGTCCTACTTCTTTCCCTTTTCCTTTCCACTTCTCATTTTGCTGCTAACTGACCCCAAAGTAGCCACTTTGGGGGATTAACACCAAAGGCATGTGGATCATATTCTGGGCATACCTATGAACATCTGATTTCTCCCACAGGATGTTTGATGTGGGAGGGCAGAGATCTGAGAGAAAGAAGTGGATCCACTGCTTTGAGGGCGTCACCTGCATCATCTTCTGTGCAGCGCTCAGTGCCTACGACATGGTACTGGTGGAAGATGATGAAGTGGTAAGTGACCTTTCAACCAGCTTTAGTAGGACAAATTTTTTGCCGTAACCCTTTCTTTAAGCTTGTGTCATCCCAATGCCCCAAACTGAGTGACTTCAGGGAACTCTAACAATCTAGCTGACCTCTAGCAGACCAATGAATGTCTCATGTAAGCAATTCTAAAATACCTCTTCTGCAGGTTCTAGGTTAGTACTTTAGAGCTCTAGATTTACTAAGAATGAGGATTGTCTCAGATTAGACATCAAAGTATTACTTAACTATCACAAAGCTCACCAGAGGATTTCAGTATTTTTTTTAAAAAACAAGGTAAGGAGTATAAATCTCCCAGATAGAGATGTTGAGCTACTAACCTCACTTCAGAAGCCTAGAAATGTACTGTGTATCAACAGAAGTAAGGCGACACTAGCAGACCGGGCTTCTCACTTGCCAAATTAACTGACAGCTGGGGAACCACCTGAGGTGGTTCCCTTCAACCTGTGAAGTTCTGTAAGGGTACTGCAGGACAAGTATCAGACCCTGGGCAGTTACATTCTCTGAGTATAAGACAGATAAAGGATGTCAAAGGTGTTGAAAACACTAATTTCACATAAACATCTACTTCACAAATGGAAGCCAGCAACCTACTCATTGAAAACATTCTATCCTCCTATTCCTCACTTCAGCTTCAGCTCTTTTCCATTCCCCTTAAAAGCTCAAGTTCACATTAGAACACTCTACCACTTCAGCCAAAATGTTTTACACTATTCAGTTTCCAACATCTCTTCTATCTTTAACCTTGATTTCTGAGGTTTTTAAAGAATTTTGTAGGAGTAGTAAAAGTGAGATAACGCTACAAATTTTATCTTTCTTGCTTTATTAGATGACTGAGCTCAAGTCAGGTATCAACCTACTTCAGGTCCCTAAAGGCCTGTCTCCTACAGGCAGGCTAGTATGGGCAATCTGCAGACTCTGCACATATATAGCACCACTTCTCACTCTTTCAGATTAGCAATCACAGAAGGAAACAAAAAGAGCAGAAGTGCTTGTGGTGTGCATTGGGAAGTTCTCTAGCCTTCATCATATGGCACTAGATCCAAAGTATACCCGTCATGTTCCTGTCCAAACTTGAGATCTAGGACCCTATTATTGGCAGTATTTGTGGATGTTGAAGTCCTTGCTGGTATCCTGGCTGCCAAAGAGGTGCATAACATTTATTGTATACCTATATGCTAGCCACTATACAGATACCATTATATATGCCCTCATTTAACTTTCATGATAACAGTATAAGGGAACTGAGACTCAAGAGAAACTCAATAATTTCCCCAAGTTATACAGCTATTAAAATGACAGAAATGAGGTTAGAAGGAACCCAGATATGTTGGCTTTACTCCACATTAAAAAGAGAAAAATTATTCCCATATCTATCCTTTTACATTTCGAGTACTGGTTATCTAAGGGCAACAAAAATGAAAGCAAACAACCAACTTATAAACCCAATCTGATATTTTCAATGGTGTTTCCTCTTACTAGAATCGTATGCATGAGTCTTTGCATCTGTTCAACAGCATATGTAACCACAAGTTCTTTGCGGCTACTTCCATTGTGCTCTTTCTCAACAAGAAAGATCTTTTTGAGGAAAAAATCAAGAAAGTCCATCTCAGTATTTGTTTTCCAGAGTATGAAGGTAAGTGTCAAGGGCTCCAGACAACAGTGATACCTTTTTGTAGTAACTAGCAACTAACTGCCTCATTCCCTATGCTAAGGAGATATAAAGGATCTTGTCTCAGGGGAAGCTTGGGCGTTTAGTTAGAGGTTTAAAATAAAGATGTGTCTGGAATACAGCAAATTTTAGATGCATGAGAGCTACTGACTGTTCAAAGGATTCCTACTAGAAACCAAAGGTAGAGACACAGAGATACTTCCCTCCTCAATTTCCTTGGTCTACTCAAGTGAGAAACACTGGATGACAATAGGCTGAACCCCTGTTCCAAAAACAGGCCCCCAACTGTATTTGTCTAATACAACATTTTAAGGATCAAGTTGGCCACCTAAAAAGTGAACAAGCAACAGACAAGGATTTATTCAGCCCACTTCTTTACTATTTTTCTGGAAAACCAGGGAACAACTCCTTTGAGGATGCGGGGAATTATATCAAGAACCAGTTCCTTGACCTCAATATGCGAAAAGATGTCAAAGAAATCTACAGTCACATGACCTGTGCTACAGATACACAGAATGTCAAATTTGTGTTTGATGCAGTTACAGATATCATCATCAAAGAAAACCTCAAGGACTGTGGGCTCTTCTAATCTTCACCAGTCCTCAGGTAAACAGGCTTGGAATCTAGGTAATTTCAAGCAGAAAATTATGGGTCAAAATACTATAACATGAAAAATGAATCCATTCTCCAATGGATATGGAGAATGATGCGGAGTTACAACAGTATCTTGCATCATCTTTTTCAAGTGGGATAGCTGGTGCAGTTTAAAGAGTGCAAGGCTAGGACTCATAACATCCAGGTTTCAGTACTGACTCTACTTAATACAAGAATTGATTACTATGAACTCTTCGTTTCTCTAGGCTTCAAATCTCTCATCTATAAAAAGAAGCTAACTTCGCAACCTATTTCACAGGGTTATTCTGAGCAGCACAAACATTAACTGAAGGGAAGGCACATAAAACATGCTATGGTTAATCACAAAAAGCAAGCCCATATAAATCTGAAAAATTTGTGAAATTCACCATCTGGCTTTTAAAATAAACTATCTCAACAAACTCTACCCCAAGTAAAACAGCAAGCCTTCCCTACAGTCCACCAAAAAACTATTTAATACAAAACTTGAATAAATCTACCAGCCCCTTTTTACTAATAGATTTCTATGTGCCTTAGCTCAAAGATACAGATCGCTGGGTAAGAAATGTGAGGTTTTTAGTTTCTAAGGCACACATCCAAAAATGATTATCTTTAATAAGCACAGCTTATCTCTCTGCCCTCAGGCTGCCAAAAAGACCGTTTCCTATATCTCTATTAATGACTGTTCAGCTATATAAGATACTTTATGACTAAACTTGGAGGACATCAACATACTCCCACTTAAGAGGATTTTATTGCTGCCATTTCTCTATCATAGAATTTAGAAGTGAGCAATTTTTAATTTCTCATTTCAACTGCTGCATGTTTCAGGAGAACAAAAAGGCAGCTGAACTTGCTTTAGGCACTGGAAATCTTTGCTGTTAGGTTCATGTGATACTGGCTGAGAACAATATTTCCCCAAACCCACCAAGGAGTAAATTATTCCTTTGAACTCCTTTGAGAGGAAACAAAGCTTGCATTTATCTTGACAGGAGGTGGTGAAGTCAAGTATAGATTTAGCATTTACAACTCCTAGTGAGAAAAGCTCTTGGCAACCAAGATTTAACATATAAAAGAAAGAGTCAATTAAATGAAAATCTGCTCTGTGCCAGAAACACCCATTCACACTTAGGCTGCTACTATCAATATTAATACTAGAGAGGCATATAAGGCTTGATATACAATGAAGAATAAATCTGCAGCTGTTAAAATTGAATCCAATTAAGTCTTTCTAATTTCCTTTAAAAACAACTCATGAGGGAAATTACGGGAAAAACTAATCTGGCCATATCTACTGACAATTAAAAAACTTAAGCAAGGATTTTGAGTCTGTTTTGTTATTATGGATCCCTCTGGCAGTTATGATGAAACCTATGGACCTCTTAACAGAATATATTTTGTTTGTTTGTTTGAAATGAGGTCTCTCTATGTTGCCCAGGCTGGCCTCCCACTCATTGGCTCAAATGATTATTCTGCCTCAGCCTCCTAAGTAGCTGAGACTACATATATGAGCCATAGCACCCAGCTCAGAGTATTTTTAAATACATAAAACACTGAGAATTACAAAAGAAACTAACATACTAAATACAGTCTATGTATAGAATCCCTGGATCTCTGAAGCCTCAGGTTAAAGAACCCTTAACTATGATCTTGTCTATTCAGGCCCACAATGCCATTTGTTCCATTTCTATAGAGTATGGTCGCAGATTTTCATTTTAATTGTGCCAGCCTGTTAGCTGCTTCTTCTCTCTTTTTTTTTTTATTTTCTTAGTTGTAGCTGGAAACAAATTTCATTTATTTATTTTTACGTGGTGCTGAGGATCAAACCCAGTGTCTTATGCACGCAAGGCAAGTGCTCTACCACTGTGCTCAACCCCAGCCCCAGCTGCTTCTTATTAGCTTTTCCTTCATCCTTGAATCTATGAATAGATTATGAGTCAAATTACAGAAGTCTCAACCAGGTTGCTTGGTTATTAATATTCATATAGAACCTTCTCTCCAATACCAGTATGGAAGCTGAGCCAGAAGAACAAGTCTTCTGGAAGAACAATTAAAGCACCTCTTGCAGAACAAAACAGGATTGTTATTTTAGTTCTCTTTTCTGACAGATATTCAAACTTTTAACTGCTTTATAAACAAATTCACATAAGTTATTATCAAAAAGTGGAGGATGGGGGAGAAAGAGCAGTTCTTAAAGCAAGAGTCCCACAACTGTTGACAGGATCTGGTTACATTTATCTTAGAATGTTTTCTTTCTTTTTCTTTTTTTTTCTAAAGAGAGAGAGGGAGGGAGGGAGGGAGGGAGGGAGAGAGAGAGAGAATTTTAATATTTATTTTTTGGTTTTTGGCGGACACAACATCTTTGTTTGTATGTGGTGCTGAGGATCGAACCTGGGCCGCACGCATGCCAGGCGAGCGCGCTACCACTTGAGCCACATCCCCAGCCCTTCTTAGAATGTTTTCAAGTTAAAACTACTTTAATGAGTATACACAAAATAAAATTTTGCTGCTCTGGGCACCCCCCTTCACCTATACTTTAAAACCAAGTAAAACAAAAAGTCTGAAACTCCTGGCCCAGAATGGGCTCTCCTCCAAGTAAAGGTAAGAGGGCTTCTTCAATATTTTCAATAAGCTTCCCCAAACAAAGCAAATTAATCTCTTATCCCAGCTTAATTCATCAAGCCCAGACATCGTTCGCAAATCTTGTACTGTGTAAAACTGGAGAAAGTGCGTTTGTACTTCTACACAAATGGCTTATTTTTATCTCATGGACCCTTTGTGTGCATGAAAATTTTTTTTTCTTTTGCATAAAATGGCTATTAAGAAAGCTCAAATTAAATCTATGCCATTTAGTCTATCATTATTCTTCTTTTACCTCATTTTAAATTTACATTGTACAGTACTGAATTTTACATACCTTTCTTTACAAGCCATCTGAAATTATTTTCTGTAACAAACTCATAAACACAGATTCAACCCTATTTTCTTACACTGCAACCTTAATTCTTAGAATGCTAAAGTCAGAAGGAACTTAAAAAATATTCTGGGCCCATTATTAGCAATTTATAGGTATGAAGTTCAGGCCTGGAGAGGCAATGTGTCCTTATCAAGATCCACACTGCTAGCAAGTAGAACTTGAACTCTAATTGCTCTTCTGAATCCAAAGCAAGTGGTCCTTCTACAGACATTGCCATCAATAGCCTATCATATACTATAAAATCAATTTCCCATTCTTCTAAACTACTCTCAACAAAGTCTTGGTTAACTTTTAGTTACGCCACCTCCAAATCATTGATATTTAACAAAACCATCTGAAAACTAAGAAGTAGAGGTCCCAAAATGGAATATGAAATTAGTAAAAAAAAAAAAAAAAAAAAAAAAAAAATCACAAAAATATAAACAAATTAGTCTGTTGAAGGCATAATCTTCTGTTCATATCCTTAGAGGCAGACACCATAACATTCTTCCCTACCACAGACAATAATGACAATAAACCAAATATAAATTAGGCTACATTTCACATATATCTAATGATAGTTTCTCCATCTTAACAAAATTCAATACGATTGACACAAAAAGACAAATATTACATGATTCCACTTATGTGAATTACCTAAAATTCAAAGAGAGGGGTTGAGAGGTGGGAAACGTAGAGTTTTAAATCAAAATGAAAAAAATTCTGGAGATGGAAGGTATATTTTTCATATACTTAAAAATGATTTAAGTGGTAAATTGGATATTACATATACTTTACTTAACATGAAAAAGAAAATTTAAAATACTGAATTTTTAAATTTAAAAAATGGAAAAGACAGAAGTGTGCTTTTATGTTTTCTGTGAATAAAGGAACAGTGGATAAAAGAAACACAATAATTCAGTCTTAAAAGCAATATAAAAGACACATTTACTTGTAACAATTCCTACTCTGATGATAAAATTCACGTTGTTCCCCCCACCAAATAGTCCAAATCAGAGTATTATCCCCCATCCCCAAGGTAACAACAGCATTCAAAGCCCATTCTCTACTTGGAGATATGCCGTAGACCAAAGTGTGCTGGCCATGCTGGGTGGAGAAGGTGGTGAAGGGTGAGAGCTCTTACCTCCCACTGCCCTCTCTACCCGGCACAGCCCCCGCAGCACAGTTTCCAGCAGGACTTCCATGTCGGGCGAGGGACTGCAAGTGTGCCAAAGCCTCTGGTGGTCCTGCTCTGTAATATGTGAAGACGTTTCTGTGAGGTCAGACAGACACATTGGAGACTGTGGGAGGGAACTTTTCTGCCTTTTGGCTATGAAAAAGTAAGCACCAGTATGAACAGAAAAGAAAGAATTGATTGATATGTAAAACAAAGCAACCCAACTTTTCACCCTGCCTCACGAATTTAGAGTAATTTATAGTTCACTTTCATTTCAGGTCTTCAGAATGACTATGAGGGAAATGCTACAAAAAGACCACCAGCTACAATGAATACATTTGTTGGTGCTGCCACAGGATGTTAACTTTTCTGCAGTGCAGTATAATCCTGAGTATCACAAAGAACATTATAAAACATCTTCAAATGTATTATTTCCATTTGATCAGAACCTCAGATTATAGCAGGAAGGAATAATTTAGTCTAGTCCATCTTTAGAGAACAGATGAGTGATATGACTAAAAGTAACCTATGCAAGGTTTCATGGCAAATAGCAGAAAAAGGACAAGAACCCATCACTCCGAACAACTTTCAATCTCATAAGACTTTCAGAGGTTTCTGCACCTTTATCCTAGATGAACAAGGATAAACAGAAAGAACAGGTAACTTCTTGTATTCTAACTACTGGGAATCTCTCTTGCATATAAAAGTCTTTGGGGTTATTCTGGATATTCTGAATATTAAGGTCAGAGGCAGAGGCTAGGAGCAGACAATTAACCAGGTTGTACAGAATTAATATTCCAGCTGTCAAAGATTTTAACAGTTTAGTTAGTGAATAGCTAATATATTTAGATAGTGTATCCCACAGCATATTTTAATATTTGATTATTTCTGCCATCTTATGATTACCACTAGATTTCAGGAAAAGAAAATATTACTACTGGACAAAGACTTTTTACATTTGACCCATTAATAGTTTAGAGCTAGCCAGTGTTGCTTTATTTCACCAACTCTAAGTGACTATTCATATTGTTACTAATAATCACCTCTGATACAGGATTTTCTTGTCTTTAATTTGATGTACATCTTTCAATCTTTACTGCATAATAAATGCCATGAAATAAATGAAATAAAAATGTTCAGATACTGGTTTCTTGTTTTAATTTTGTATAAAAACTAAATTCTCTATATCTACAATGTAGGAATGTCTTTCACAACCAGTCCTCAGACTAATTTTTCTGTTGGAAGGCACTTTAAGTACAAAAAGTACTTCTTATTGGCAAACAGAAAATAACTCAGTCACTTTACTAGTAATTTTAAGGTTATCCATGTACTACTGTTTAACATTTGTGCTGATTTTAACCCAGACACTAAGGAGACTGAAGCAGGAGAATCAAAAGTTCAAGGCCATCCACAGTAACTTAATGAGACCTTCTCAAAAATAAAATTTAAAAAAGGGTTTGGGATATAGCTCAATGACAGGCATCCTTGGGTTCAATCTCTAAAACTGAAAAAAAAAAAAAAAAAAATCTGTCCTGGTGCACACCTGTAATGCCAGCTACTCCAAAGATTGAGGCAGAAGGATAAAAAGTTCAAGGCCAGGCTAGGCAACTTAGTAAGACCCTACCTGAAAACAAAAAATAAAAAGGGCTGGAGGTGTAGCTCAACACACTTACCTACATGTACAAAGCCCTGGGTTCAAACCCCAGCACCACACAAAAAGAAAATAACCGCTGTGCCCTTACTAGTTCTAAAGTATGTTATCCTCAGCAGAAGTAACTCATAAAAGGCAATGACAAAATTGGGGGGAAACTTTTAAAAGCTATACAAAGATAAGGGAACAAAGACCTTGATCTAGAAGTTACTTCCTTACTGCCTCAAAAAACCTTTTTACTCCCAGATAGCTGGCAGAAAAACCAACATCAATTTCAGACTTCTAGACAACCAACTTTTTGCTCTTGTGATTACGAGAACAATATAACAAAATATGATGGTCATAAAGCTATGTGGAGAGCTGTGCCTGTTCAGGTCAGATCTGATTTGTATTATGAAGTCTGAAATAGAACCCAATGATTACCTGGTAGCACTGGTAAATTAAGATAACTGTTCTTAAAGCATTACATAGGAAAGGGAAAGGATTCCACAAGCAGTAACACTGAAGGAAATCAGTGCTGCTGAGAGGACTTTGTTGTTATTGTTTAACAACTGAAAAGGGAGAAAAAAATCAAGGGCAGGTTTTTAACTGAAAGGAAAGACTAACTTAAACTTACATGTAACTGCAATACAACAAGGACTTCTGCAACATGAAATTCCAGAACTATGTCATACAGGTTAAACAAATGGAGAAACATATGAAGTGACCAATCAGGCCATGAAAGCAAAATCCAAAATAAATCTCAGTCAAAACAGGAGAATAGTGACCAGGATATAAGAATATAGGACTGCCAGAAGCAGTGGCGCATGTCTGTAATCCCAGAGGCTCAGGAGGTGGAGGCAGGATGATCATGGGTTCAAAGCCAGCCTCAGCAAAAATGAGACACTAAAAAACCCAGTAAAACCCTCTCTCTAAATAAAATACAAAATAGGGCTGGGGATGTGGTTCAGTGATCAAGTGCCCAGGAGTTCAATCTCTGGTACCTCCCCATCCCAACCCCTGTCCAAAAAAAGAATACAGGGTGAGTAATAATTTAGAATAAACAGATTTTTTAGTCTAAAAATGTACATGTTACATATGAACACATGTGAACATAAAAAAAGGTTTTTAAAATTTTGTTTCACCTATGATAATAGCACCTTGTGAAAAATAACAGTCTACCAGAAAAAAATAATAAAGTGCTATATTGAACTAGAAATTTAGAATCTGAACTGTCCCAAGATGATATCATCATTACCTACTGATGAATAATGGGCATTGGAATTTTCATTCCAGGAGGTGGAATCAATCTAAGCTTGAATTTGTAAGTTTAGGGAGGCCTGTCCATCAAGAAGAATGCATCTCTCTGTCCAATGTTTAATCAGGAGAAGAAGTGGCTATCCACAAAATTACTGTTGCAATCCTTCCTTCCAGGGTGTACTTTTTAAGAAAAAAAAAATATTTTTTAGTTGTTAATGGACACAATATCTTTATTTATTCATTATTTTTTTAATGTGATGTTGGGGATTGAACCCAGTGTTTCACACATACTAGGCAAGTGCTCTACCACTGAGCCACAACCCCAGCCCTCCAGGGTGTATTTATGGTTCAAACTTTAATTTTCTTAATTATGCCAACTTCTTAGATGGTCCAAAAGTCTGGTCACCCAAATTCAGAAATATTATCCATTACAAATCTCTAGCATTCTGGGTTGGGGAGGAGAGTAACTTTTAACTTCTCTGATTAAAAATTGCAATCTCTGTCCAGGCTAGTAGATGTGATGTTTCCCCCACATTTTTGGCTCTGTTGTAAGAAAAGATTTTTTATTTCAAAATATTATTTAGTAATTTGAATGCCTAGCTGATAAGAATCATCTTTTGAAAGTTACAGATTACTACTCTACCAGACAAAATTCAATCTTTTCAGATATGTCCAGGTGATTTTGACTCAAGTCATACTTGAAAACCGCTGGCTTAAACTGCCTCTCATCTATTCTCAAGGGATGTATATTTAGATAAGTTACTTGAGATGGTATGGTAGGAATGATCTTCAAGCAAATAGAGACTGTTGTCAAAACAGAAAAGTGGAGGACTGTTTTTGTTAATAGAAGGGCTTCAAAAAAAAAAAAAACCCATCAGACAGACATTCAAATGAAAATACAAAATGCATTTCAAAGTAAAATTAACTTTGGATTATCTATTATTTTAGATTTTCAACAATACCATTCCATTAAACCCAGAGTATAGAAAAACTACAAAAACAGTATTTCACTGGTACTAATTACTAAATGATCCTATATTACAGAAGAATACAGTAAGGAAAGGAAATATTTAAAATGAGTTACACCTATCAACCCATATTTACATTAAGTCAAACACCAATTGAAGCTAATAATTTTCTTTCAGATCAAGTTTTTCTACACCTAATGAAAACTGTGTTTCATAATACAGCTACACCATCTGCTTAGTTATGATTCTCCAAAAAGAATAATAAGTTTAAAAAAAAAAATTCCCACTGAAGGCCCTGAACTGCTATGGCTTGCTTTTTGAAGCAGCTTTGATAACCACCAACCTTCAATGAATAAGGCCACAGCAAAAGATGAAACAGAATCCAATTAAAAATGATTGGACCCCAAAAGGCACTGCTCAAATTACTGATTTGAAATGCTCAAAATGCATTCTCTTCATTTGCCTTTCTCCAATGGTCTGCTCAGTATTTAATGACATTTGCTGTACATTAAACAAAAAAGACCTCTAGGCTAAAGTAAATACAGCTCTATGCCAGCAAAATGCAAATCTGGAGGACAGATTATGACTGCATATTACTTGTACACAGACAGGACATATAACCTTCATCCATAAAGTCAAGATTCAACAATACTATTACACCAAGGGAATAGTCTATGAAGGAACACTTCTACCTGAACCCACTCTCAGACAAAGGCGAAGCACACTCAGCAGTGGTAAAAATAAACAGAAGACAATGCTTCCAGAAAAAAGACTGGTTACAAACAGGAGCAAACCTGGACTCTTTACTCACCATTTTAATACTGCTGCCAACTATAACAGATTAAAATCTGTACATATGACAAAGTGGAAAAGTCCTAAAATGCAACAGTTTGGGTAAAAGAACTTACTAAGGATTACTACATTTAACATTACTTCAGTAAAACAATGGCAAACAGGGGTTTGGCACCACATTTACAAAGTAAAAGCATGCACTGTTAATATACTTTATAGATGTCTCCCAACAAAAAAGACCACAGATGGAAAACAAGGGGCACCTTATATAAAACTCCCTATGACTGAGACAAACAAGCAAGAATATCAAAGTGGTCAATTTAGAGATATGTAGCAGCAAAGTCAATGGTTCTGTTTGGAATTTAGCAATTTACATTTTTAATTAATAGCTGCCCTGGGTGTGTCCATATCCAAGAAGCTGACTTGATCATACTACATCAGCATGTACCTAGTAATTTGGTAATTAGCATAAAACAAGGTTAACCTTCAACCACATAAGCTTAAAGAAAAAAGAGAGCTAGAATCTTATTGCAGACCTCTCCAATGTAATTACCATTTAGAAACCACCATAGTTTACTTTGAACATAATAGTAACCCATATTGCATTCAAAAAAGCTATATTTATAGCCCCTATAACTGGACAGAATTTTAAGTAATTATTGATGTATATTCTGACCACACCAAGAATTAAAAACAAAGAGTTCCTATTAAGAGGAATATTTTCAAGATAATCTGGTGACATCATATGCATAGTTAAGACTGTGTTTTAATAAAGATTCTCTCGCAAATAAAGAAGTAACATTTAGTAATGAGTTATTCTCTTGATGAAAAAAACTTCAGAAATGAATTACTGGTGATTTGTTAAGAAGGGGGAAAAAAAAAAAGTAAGCCACATATTGAAGTTCTGGAATGCAGCACCTCAACTTCAGATCTGCCCTAAAATTTAAGATTATAAAATCCAAGTGATGTCTTGATGATGAAACCATGCTTTACAGCTGTTCCAATTCCAATGTCTGACTTGAGTATCTCATGTCAATTAAAAGTTCCCTAATACAGAAAATTGTACTAAAGAGTGCTAAGATTCTGCATGCTTCTGCCATTCCCTGGTCCCGTCATGCTTGCAGCTGCCCCATGAGACAGCAAAAGATGTCTGGTCTCAACACTCCATACTGCTGTAGCTAGAAAAGAAGAATATTCTTAATTAGAAAAAGTTTACAAAGCCAAGAGATTATACTATAGCACTTTAGCAAAACTGTATGATGTTTTTACCTTTTACTAACATCCACCCTCTTCAATAAAGTCCACATTCCTTTAAGTTGTTTTTAATGATGACATCTGTAACAGCATCAAAAACAAACTGCACATTTTTGGTGTCTGTGGCACAGGTGAAGTGAGTGTAGATCTCCTTGGTATCTTTTCTTCTGTTCAGATCTTCAAACTGGCACTGGATGTAAGCAGCTGCCTCTTCATATGTATTAGAACCTAAAACAGATACTCAATATTATCAGTGCAAATTATAACAGCTGAACTCAATTAAGTCAGGCCATCCATTTCCTTATGAAAAAAGGAAACATGATGCAACAGAATTTTATATCTCTTCACTATATTCTTCATTAGTGCAATCTCCTATTGAAACTAAAATAAAATAATCACAAAGACTGAGGAAAATAACAAATTTTTCTATCCCCTTTCTTTAGATATTTCAGCTGAAAAAAATCTGGAAAGTATAAAAGGAAACAAGGGAAGTAGGAGGGTGCATTTCTAGAAAACACAATTGTTGAAAAGGTCAAAGAGAGCCTGTGCTACTTGGAAAGATCTTGAAATGAACAATTCAAAAGGATAAGGCATACTTCTTTTCAAAATCATCCCAGTTTTAAGAGGGCTTAGCCTCAGAGTTTTATATTTTAATATATATTATTTTGGTTGTCCAAGGACCTTTATTTTATAATTTATTTATATGTGGTGCTGAGAATTGAACTCAGTGCATCACCCTTGCTAGGCAAGTGCTCTACTACTGAGCCACAACTCCAACCCCTCCCCCCGTTTTTTAATATTTAATTTTTAGTTGTAGTTGGATGCAATACCTTTATTTTATTTATTTTTATGTAGTGCTGAGGATGGAACCCAGGGCCTCTGGGGTCAGGGATGTTGAGTAAATGAGTACTAGGCAAGTGCTCTACCACTCAGCCACAATCCCAGCCCCTAGCCTCAGAATGTTAAAAGTAATAATTTAAACAACCAAAGGGATAAACCAACAGGTGCAAAAGGTAAGGGGATCCCAATTATACACATTAAAAGGGTGAATTTTATAGTTTCTGAATTATATTTTAATAAAGCTGTTATTTTTAGGAGGGATCAGAAAACCACAAGTAAACCCTGTTTTCAGTAACATCTGTAACTTTTTCTTTTTTTGATATAGGGGATTGAACCCAGGGCACTTAACCTCTAAGCTACATCCCTAGGCCCTTTTTATATTTTATTTAGAGACAGGGTCTTGCTAGTTGCTTAGTGCCTAAGATGCTTTAGGCTGGCTTTGAACTCAAGATACTCATGCCTCAGCCTCCCAAGCTGCTAGGATTACAGGCATGTGCCAAAATATTTGCCTTTGACACCATCTTGTGCCCTTTATGGAGATAGTAAAAGTAGTTTTTTAAATCGGCTGCAAGGTCAGGGAAACTCAACAAAGCCATTACACACTTTTATTCCACTAAACCAGAGGTTGTTTTCAATGACATCAAGCATGACCAAAAGTATCAACCACCAAGAATACAAAGAAAATTTGATAACAATGAAGAATTTATCAAAGAAAGAAAAATTAAATAAAATATTTAAAGAACTGAAGGAAGACAACTTTGTAAATGTCTATAGTAGGTTTCTTGAATTCTGTAGGAAACCCACAGTAAATTAAAGGACACAAATGAGTGACAAGTAAATTATATTCGTCAAAATGGGTAACTGGTAAATCAGGACTAGGAAACCCACAGTAAATTAAAGGACGCAAATGAGTGAAACGTGAATCATATTCAGTCAAAATGGGTAACTGGTAAATCAGGACTATGAGAATCTTTTTTTTTTGGATACTAGGAATTGAACTCTGGGGCAGTTGACCACTGAACTGAATCCCCAGCCCTTTTCTGTATTTTATTTAGAGACAGGGTCTCACTGAGTTGCTTAGCACCTTGCTTTTTGCTGAGGCTGGCTTTGAACTCATGTTCCTTCTGCCTCAGCCTCCTGAGCCGCTGGGATTACAAGCACCACCATGCTCAGCAGAACTGTGAGAATCTTTAATGAAATCAAAGGAAATTAGGATTGTTAAATTCACAACAACAAAATGGATATGATAATGAAGGCTCTTTGCCTTGGTGAAGTCTCCCAGAGGCCCTTCATAATTAATGCTAACACTGTTACTTCAGTATGATTTCTCTTCCCATCCTAAAAACTTGGCTCCTTTCTATAAACTCATCTAATTCTCACCTCCCTCTGTTCCTTACTCTGAACAGATATCAATTTCTACTTTCTTGAGAAAATAGAGGCCATGAGATTTAAAGTATACCTCAACTTTTTAGCCTACCACCTAGTTTTAAAAGTTACCAATATCTGCTCTCTGGATTTAGAGATGTCTTTCCTTCTGTCCCAAAACCAATGACTCTGCCAGGTGAGGTAACACATGCATGTAATCCTAGCAGCTCAAGAGGCTGACTCAGGAGGATCACTAGTTTAAGGCCAACCTCAGCAACTTAGTGAGGCCATAAGCAACTCAATGGGACTCTGTCCCAACATAAAATACAAAAAGGTCTGGGAATGTGGCTCAGTGGTTAAGCACCTATGGGTTCAATCCCCAATACCAAAACAAAAAGACTACTTACACATTTTGTTTTTTTAATTATCAAGGAAAATTCACCCAACATAACAATTTTAAAGCATACAATTTCATATCATTTGATATATTCATAATGTTATACTATCATTCTTCTAATGTTTCGAAACTTGTTTTTACCTTCCAGAGAAATGCCCTGTTCCCATTAAATAATCACTCCTCATGCTATCCATATCTCCTCCCCCGGTAAACACCTACATGCTTTCTATCTCTATGAATTTAACTATTTTAGATATTCTACATAAGAGGAATTCACATAATATGTGATCTTTTATGTTTGGCTTCTTTTACTTGGTATATTTTTGACATATATCCAAGATGGAGCAACTATCAGTACTTTGTTCCCTTCTATGGCTAAATCACATTCATTGTATGTATATGCCACAATTGTTTATCCATCCATCCTTCTTAGACTCTTAATTCCTTCTTTTCCCACTTAATTTCACTAATTGCACAAAGGAAATTAGGATTGTCAAATTCACAACAAAATGGATACATACACACACACACACATATGTGTGTGTGTGTGTGTGTGTGTGTGTGTGTATATATATATATATAAAACTCACCCAACTTCTTCCAAAGTTCCTAGGCCACCTAATACACATCTCCATCTGGATGTTCCACAGATATTTCAAAATAACTATCCTAAATATGAATTCAGATCATAGCACATATATCCAATTGAGACAGAAATATGGGTTCCTTTAACTCTTCCCATTTCTTCACCCTTGCCATATCCTTTCCCTTTCTTATAGAAAGCACTTACAGTGCTTCAGCTAACAAGAGTTCTCTCCTGGGAATACCTGACTCTGACCTCCAAGTTTCATAGTGGTGAAGCCCTGGTAGTCATGTTTGAACCACCCACCTCCAATGACTAGCCCATAGATTTTAGCCTGATTGAACTATGGCCAGAATTTCTATCTCAGGAATTCAAACTTAAGGCCAAGTAATCCCAACCCAACCTTTCTAATGGGAGAAGAAACAAAAACTCAGACAAGGCCATCTTTTATTGTAAAACAAAAAGTTGATAAATAGAGAAAGAGAAGAATAAAGAAGAGATGCAGGAAGGAAACAGATAAGGATAAAGAGTACTTCCAGCATACCTAACAGCTTTATATTTCCTAGTTCCAATTCCATTCAAAGACCTATCTGTATTCTTGGCCTTGGCTTATATAAGCGATCCCTGGGTCCTCACCAAAAGTTTTTATCTATATTCTGGCAAAGTTCTTCCTAATTCAACTCCCCTATTAGCTATATTTATTATCATTTATTGCATAGTTTTTCTAAAGCAGTATTTATGCTACCTTATGCACCCCAGTTAAAATCTTCCAACTGTTCTTCACTGTCTCTCCATGAGCTCATTCCTGACCATCTAACTACTGCTTTCCTACCACTTTAAATTCCTATAATAACACAAGGTTCCAGAACAAGTCCTGTCATTTTTGTAACCTTCATATTGTCAAATATGCTATTTCCTTTTTAAAAAATGCTTTTATTCCTGTCTGCCTGATGACTTCTAATTCAACTTCTTAACAGCTCATGCAAGTGCCATTCTTCTAAGAAAAGACTATGCTGACTCCATAGGAGGGAACCACTTCTTTCTTTCTTTCTTTCTACTTCTATCAATGTACATTTTACACTGCAATAAAATTATGTTTCTCTTTCTAAAACCAGATTGAGTTTCTTGAACACAATGCATCTTATCTTTGTGAACATATACCAAATTTTAATATTTATCCTTGTTTACTCTCCTCAAAAAATGAGGTCAGAAAGTTAAGGTGAACATAGAAAACCTGATTATGTCAATAGTACTCAAGGGATTTTTTAAAAAAATATTCTTTAGTTGTCAATGGACCTTTATTATATTTATTTTTATGCAGTGCTGAGAATAGAACCCGGTGCCTCATACATGCTAAGCAAGCCACAACCCCAGCTCCTAGGGGATCTTAATCATTGTGCTTAATGCTGATACCAATACTAGTGAATACTCTCCCTAAGGGCATATATGAAACATTTAAAACAAAAAACAGGCAGGTATGGTGGCACATGCATGTAATCCCAGCTACTTAGGAGGCTGACTCAGGAGGACTGAAAGTTCAAGGCCAGCTTGGGCAATTTAGCAAGACCCTAAACAACTCAGCAAGGCCCCATCTCAAAATAAAAAAACAAAGAGGGCTGGGGATGTAGCTCAGTAGTAAAGCCCCCTGGCTTCAATCCTCAGTACCACAAAAACAAATAAACAAACACCCACAACAAAAGCTGGTTGGATGAATGTTACTGAAGAATTGACCTAAGATATGTACATCCAATAAAATCTTTCATGAACCCGTACCTGTATATTCTGGATAACAGATAGTTAATGGACTCCTCTTTATTTTTTCTTCAAAAAGGTCTTTCTTGTTAAGGAAGAGAATGATTGAAGTGTCTGTAAACCATTTGTTGTTACAAATGCTGTCGAATAATTTCATGCTTTCATGCATTCGGTTCTGAAAAACAATCAAAGGTTGATAAATCAAACCAGGATGGTGATGCATGCCTGTAATCCCAGCTACTGGGGATTGGCTTAAGCAGGAGGACTAAAAAGATGGGGACTGGCTTAATCAGGAGGGCTGAAAGCCAAGGCCAGCCTCAATAACATAGCAAGACCCTATCCCAAAATGAGGACTGGCTCTAGCTCAGCAGTTCCTTTGACACAGAACTTACAACCAAAATGAAAAATACAAAGGGGTGGGGATGTAGCTCAGTGGTAAAAGCTCAGTGGTAAATCACCCCTAGGTTCAATTTCCAGTACCCCAAAAAGAAGAATAAGTCAGGAGCAAAAAAGAGGATTAAAAAGTGGATTAATTTAATAAAAAACCAGACCAACGGGTTTTAAAGCAGTGAAAGGGATTCATGGAAATATGTCAGGTACAAAGTTGATTCAGTCCTCATTTTTATAATTATTGGTGGGAAGAAGGACAAACCAAGAAACCCATTTATCCCTGTCCACATACTCAATGAGGGCTATTACATCTTTTTAAGAGATGTAACAATTAATTTTGAAAATCTACTCTCACTGACACACAGAAAAACTAAGGATCTTAAGTTTTGCTTTAGTGAACAAATGGATACACTCAGTTATTATGGGAGTTACTTTCCATTTCCTGACTGCATCAGACAGGCTTTTAACTAGAAGCTTCAACATACCATCTCCTCATCCTCAGCCAGAACAAGGTCATAATCACTGAGGGCCACACAGAAGATAATTGCTGTTACCCCCTCAAAACAGTGAATCCACTTTTTTCGTTCTGATCTTTGGCCACCTACATCAAACATCCTGAGCAAAGAGAAAAAAAGCACAAATTCAACAAGATCACATTTATACAACCCCTAAACTGTAATGATTAAAAATCTTTCCATTATTACATATTCAAAATCTCACTTGTAATAGAAAAGACAAACAAGGAGCAGATAAAATGTAGTCAAAATAATTATCTGTGACTAAAAGTTAAAAAGAGCAAAAAGAGAAAATAAAATTTAGGAATAATTTAAACTCTCATTTAGATAGATAGCTGAGGTTCTTCCCTATAAAATCTTTTATTGGACATACCAAAAGTCAGCAGAATAAGCACAGAAATGAATTAAAGGAAAGAGAGGACAAAGAAAGGAAAAAATGAAGAGCTGAATAATACAGCTTAAGATAATAGCAATCATAATAAAACCAGTATTTATTGAGTGTTTACCATTGTGCCAGACACTACTCTAGACATCTTAAAAACATTTACTCACTTTACTCTCCTAACATCCCAAAAGTACTATTGTTATCAACCTCATTTTACAGATGAAGGAATTAAGGCATAGATATGTCATAATTTTCTCAAAAGCACACTACTATAAAGATGGGGACTGGGGATCCAGACTCAAGCACTCTAAAGTATTCTAGCATCTATACTCATCCATCCCACCACCCTGCCTCTCAGAATGATTTGTCTCTAAGTCTCCAACTTGTATTCTGCTTTCCAACATCTTCCTACTGATTCACAAGTTAGTTTTCCCTGTGTTAAGTCAAAATATTTGAGAGAAAAATTATGAAAAAAAATAATTACATTTTATGGTGGGACAAAGAACCCGGTATTTTTTAAAACTCCTTAACCAGTTATTTCCCAGCTCCAAGTCTTTCTTGAACCTAATTAATAATAACATGAAGTTTCAATTATTCAACTACTTTGTTTCACCACAGATTAGTTTTAGTCCACCACTCTCTAGTAAAGTGCTGAATTTCTGTGATTACTGTCCTCACCTATTTATTATAATGCCAGGGTCACCTACACTCAGCAATGTCTTTTAGCTGCCACCTGGATCTGATGAGGTATGCATGTAAATAAATAAGACTCTTAAAATCTATATTTGATAACAATGATAACAACTTTATAGGCTAAACTCTGCTATACTGGTTTATTGTATCAGATCTACAATTTCTAAGGACCTAAATTTCCAGGATTATTTACCCCCCAGAGATCGAAAGATATAAAGATAGAGTTGGTGTTTTCTTGATATACATTTGAAAGGGAATATTCATCTTATTTGTGACCAACCCTTCTTTTGGTTGATCTTGCATAGTTCTTTTGGCGGGGAAGGTACAAGGGATTGAACTCAGGGGCACTTGGCCACTAAGCCACATGCCCAGCCCTATTTTGTATTTTATTTAGAGACAGGGTCTCACTGAGTTGCTTAGTGCCTTGCTTTTACTGACGCTAGCTTTGAAATCACAATCCTCCTGCCTCAGCCTCCCAAGCTGCTGGGATTACAGGCGTGCACCACCGCGCCCGGCTCTTGCACAGTTCTTTATTCAACTCTGGTCATGCATGACACCTGAAATGATGCAGTAACAAGCTGGCTTTAACAAAGGGTCAGATCACAGGTTGTAGGAAGGTTAATACCACATATTTCACCATGGAACTCTTTCAAGGGGAGACCAGTGCACGAATAATTCCAGTTTACTCCCACATTTTCTTCCATAAAGTCCATAAATCTGGTAGAACACTGTGAAGTTCCAAGGTGGGCTTTTAGTACATATTAACATTTACAATATCATTCACTGACAGATCAACATTTTATAAACATTACCTCATAACTGAGAGGCAAGTAAGCAATTACACAATGCCTTGCATATGGTAGATGCTCAATAAATGTTTGAATAAATGGATAGTGGTTTTGCCTAGAGAGAAGAGGAAAAGGAAGAAATGATAGTACTTCATAACAAGATATCTCTACATGCCAATAATAAAGTGGTGTGGCACTTTAATTCAATCTGCTACTGATCCGATAGACAGGATTTACTTAACTAAAGAAAAATCTATGACATCAACAAAAGTTTCCCACACTAAACAAATAATGGTCAGAACACTTAATTATAAAAAATTGCTAATTTTATAGTACACAAAGAGACATCTCATTCCTATGGTTTCACTAGCTATTCCATGTGGTTTTTGCTGCTCTTGTTAAATAAATTCATCAGAATGATAAGTAGCCAATCTATTCTAAAAACATTCAGCTTAACTATTAATATACTGCAGCAGGTTTTAAATCTGTTTGGTGTATTACAATTTCAAGACCACAACTGGTACCCAGTAATACATAACTATCTATGGATTTCACAAATTCTGGAAGGCAACTATTTCAAAGAAAAGAAAACTAAAAGGATCTGTGGCAGTAGTTATTTACCTTTGTACAGAATAATGCTATCCCATTCTACCTATAAGCATGAAGAAACCAAAAAGTACATCATGTATCAAAGGGGAAAAATTCACTCCTAATCTCAAAGGTCACAAAAGCAGAAAATGGGAACCAAAGAGACTGTTTTATTATTTATAAAAGTCCATTAACACAGAGACAAGCTGTGGCTTGTCTTAGAATTAATTACTAACTCTATAAGAAAATTCTTTGTTTTAGAATACTAGAATTTATTCTCTAAAACAATCCAATCACTGTTTATGTCATTATATTGCCCCCAAAGACCTATTCCCTCAAGCTCATTTTCCTTTCTGTACTATACTAAGAACTTAGTTGATAATTCTATGCACACATCAATCCAAGACCCATCACAATATTAGATCCATCTCCTTAAAGTAAAATGTAAACCAGTAAGAAAGGAATGACACTGTTATTTCAAATTTAATATAAAAATGGCAGAACGAAGCCACATAACTAATCAGAAAGTTATGTCCATTTAGTATTTTTATCATTCTAAAGATTCAATGTCTGTTTTCAAGACTAACAAAAAGTAGCTAAAGAGAATAAAATTACAAGTAATACAAATTGGTAATCACATGATTGATTCTATTGGTAGGTGAACTACAATTTAATTCTGAATTTAGTTTCCTCCAAATGCATCAAATATTTTATTCTACTTGGAGAAAAAAAGAAATGTTTGGGCTCCCATTAGTTAAAACATTCAGATAATGGCTGATAATATGATAAATTTCTAAACAAAGGAATATTGCCTAGACAAATCTTAGAGCTTACTTAATGTAAGAAAGGTTAATGTTTGTGTTAGGCTTATTTAGCAAAAAGGCTAATAATTACTTGAAGTATAAATCTTTGAAGGTGAAATGTGTTTCCACAATGCCTGTGGTCTTCACTCTTGTCCGAAGAACATCTTGCTGAGTTGGAATGTAGTTGTTTTGGGATATTCTATCCAGATCATTTAGGTAACTAAAAAATAAATACATTTATTTTTACCTGATGAAGCCAATCATGTGTATAGCAAGTCAACAGACTAAATAATTCGTTGCCAAAAGTAGATTCTGAACCTGTTACTAAAGTAGCAAAACAAAATCAGATCTTCAGTATCATGGAATATTAATCAGGAAAACTATAAACCTAGCATAGGACATTTAAAGTAGGTTATGCATACACTAACAAAAGTGGTTTTAATTCTACAGAATTACATTGTCAAGGCCAATTTAAAAAACAACATGACAATGTTATTCAAGAAAATTTCTGAAGTTTACAGTAGAAAAACCAAAGTTGTCAGAATTTAAGCCTAATAGATTATTTGCATGTTTAACCTCTTGATGGAACATTAGAGAATGGAATTTGAATGATGAAAACTATAATAAGAATGAATATTTCCTGTTTTAATTCAGGAAGCAGGATTATAAATTTGTAGGGGTTGTTTTCAAACCAAGGGCCTCCTGCATACTAGCGCTTTACCACTAGAAAACAGCTGCTAGCCTGTTTTTTTTTTTTTTTAACTTAAGTCAAAAACAAATTATTAAAAAAAAAATTTAATTTTTGTTCAGTGGAATAACTAAAAGATTGCTTCAAAGTCAAATTCTCCCCAGCAGCTCTCGAGGCTGAGGCAGGTGGACTGTGAGTTCAAAGCCAGCCTCAGCAAAAGAGAGGCACTCAGCAACTCAGTGAGACCTTGTCTCTAAATAAAATACAAAATAGGGCTGGAAATGTGGCTCAGTGGCTGAGTGCTCCTTAGTTCAATCCCAGTGGTGGTAGTGGGCAGGGGGACACAAAGCCAAATTCTCCACCAATTTCCAGGCTGAAAACCTGAAGAACACGTGGCACCAATATAACTGAATCATTAAAGATCTTCTATGTAACCAAATATTACCATTAATGTTAAGGAGTCAAGCTTAGATGAACAATTATGGAGGGAAAAACCAACTTTGTAAATCACATGTCCTTTGAAGATCCAGAGCTTACTGAATCTATGATAGAAAAAAGCAATTAAAATCTACCCCTATGTCAAGATCATTGTAGTGTCATGTGTAACTAATTAAAATAAATTTAAAAAAAAGAAAAAAAATCTATCCCTGATGACCATGGGAGAATTATTTAAATTAATATCTTCAACTAAAAAATGTTATTAAAAGGTGGGCAAGAATCCTGAAATATTTCCAAAGTCATAAGCAAGCTTCTCAAACATCATTTAATTTCTTATAACAATATATGATAAAATAAGAATGGGGAAAGTAGGAAAATATAATAATGGAGGAATTACCTAATGTTTAAATGCTTTTATCTAGTACAGAGAAGGACACAGATATCAAGTACTCAACAAGTTCCCCCAAAAAAGTTTAATGAAAAAAACCAATAAATTTAGATCTGAAAACAAATGTGCACAGGGTCAAAATGGAATGACATATAATAGTGCAACCTAAGTATTAATTACCAATTTTCTAAAACTAATATTAAGAAAATTTCCTTAACAAAAAAAGGCTTCAAACTTCATTTTATGACTCAATGTTCTCTTTCTATAATAAAGTCTATTATTGTAATCTGGCAAAAGATTTGTAAGTGGTGACTAGTACCAGAAAAATCATAGCATGCAGCCCATACACAGACAACTGGCTGCATGAAAAGGAGTGTCACAATTCTAATTTACCCCTCTAACTGCTATCAGTGCCAAGCCCTTATGCACAGGGAACTTACTAGATAGAGCTGGAAGAGATCCAGGACTCAGCTACACTGGATGTCTCTCCTTTGCTTGCTCTTATAAATATACCATGAAGCTAATTTTGTGGTGCCAAATCTCCCATTTATATTCCATGAGGGAACTCTTTTCTCCAAATCATATAAATGACCAAGTCCTCTATAATCCTAATTGAGATAATCTTTAATAAAGGATCCTATAAACTTCTAAGAGTTTCTATTACTTAAACATTTCCTTAGGGATGGGCACTGAACTTTCTCTAGGGCCATGATGTTCTGTTATGGTTTCATACAGCAAAATTACTTACTATGAAGCAGAATCATTAAGCTGGTATTCCCTGGACCTGCTGAAGCACGCTTGTACCCCACCATCTCGCCATAACCGTTTAATCACTCCTGCTAATTCTGAAGTCATTACTCCTTCTTCAGCACTGCCAGCTAAAACAAATAATTGCCGAGCATCATCCTGAAGAAAGCAGGTAAGAGAGAGAGATGATTCTCCATTCTTTAAAACTTGATTATTGTCTCATTAAACACACATATACACACACACAGAGTCATACTTTAGAGGTGTTACAAAGACTTTTTCTAGCAAGGCACCATGGAAGAATTTATAATTAATTCTTTTCCCATTCTCACTCTACTACAGTCTTAAGTCCAGAACTGAGCTAAGGAATGATTTTATTGCTCCCTATTTCTCCTCACCATACCCCCCTCCTCAGAAAAATAACCATTTTGGTTACTCATGATTACTGAAAGAAAATGGCATGCCCATTCTATTAAGGGAAGCCTACAATTAAAAACAGAAATGAAAAGACTAGCACATTGAGGCTGGAACTGTAGCTCTGTGGTACAGTGCTCGCCTAGCATGCATGAGGCACTGCGTGTGACACTCAGCACCACATAAAAATCAAATAAAGATATTGTGTCCACCTAAAACTAAAAAATAAAATATTTTTTTAAAAAAGACCAGCACATTAAGAGGTTAAGTTTAATAAGTTCTTAGTCAAACTAACCAAAAGAAAAAAGAGAAAAAGTTCAAATTAATAAAATTAGAGATGAATAAGGAAAAATCATCACAGACATCACAGATATCCAGCAGATTAGGGACTACCATGAAAACATATTCTAATTTTGGAAAACCTAGAAGAAAAGGATATTTCTAGACAAATACAATCTGCCAAACTGAATCAAGAGGATACAGAAAACCTAAACAGACCAATAACTTGCAATGAGATAGAAGTAGTAATAAAAAGCTTTCCAAAAAAAAAAAAAAAAAAAAAAAAAAGCCCTAAACCTGATGGGTTCTCAGCAAAATTCTCCCAAACCTTTAAAGAACTAATACCTATACTCCTCATATTATTCCATGAAATAGAAAGGGATGGAACATTTCCATATTCATTCTATAAAGCCAGTATCATATTATACCAAACCAGATAAGGATACATCAAGGAAAGAAAACTACACACCAATATCTCTGATGAACTTGATTCAAAAATACTTAACAAAACATTAGCAAATTGTGTTCAACAACATAAGAATATCATATATCACAACCAACTTGTTCTTTTTTTTTTTTAAAAGAGAGAGAGAGAGAGGAGAGAGAGAGAGAGAGAGAGAGAGAGAGAGAGAGAGAATTTTAATATTTATTTTTTAGTTATCGGTGGATACAACATCTCTGTTTTGTATGTGGTGCTGAGGATCGAACCAGGGCCGCACGCATGCCAGGCGAGCGCGCTACCACTTGAGCCACATCCCCAGCCCCAACTTGTTCTTATTCCAGAGATGCAAGGATAGTTTAATATACAGGGATCAATAAATGTAATTTATCACATAAAAAGAAGTAAGGTCATAAATCACTTAGCTCAATAAAGGCAGGGAAGGCTTTATTTACTTATCAGCACCCAATCCTGAGAAAAACAATGAAGAAACTAGGGATAGAAGGAACCTAACTCAACACCATAAAGCTAACCTCACAATAAATGGGGAAAAAGAAAGCATTTCCTTTAAAATCTGGAACAAGGTAAGGATGTCTATCCTCACCACTCCTATTTAATATAGTGCTAAAAATTCTATCCAGAGCAACTAGGCAAAAGAAGGAAATAAAAGGGATAAAAAATACGAAAGGAAGAAGTCAAATCATCACTGTTTTCAAAAGATATGATCCTGGGCTGGGGATGTGGCTCAAGCGGTAGCACGCTCGCCTGGCATGCGTGCGGCCCGGGTTCGATCCTCAACACCACATACAAACAAAGATGTTGTGTCCACCGAAAACTAAAATAAATAAATAAATAAATATTAAAAAAAAAACAACAAAAGATATGATCCTATACCTAGAAGATCTAAAAAAAAACTCTACCAAAAGACTGCTACAGCTAATAAAAAAAATTGGCAAAGTAGCAGATTACAAAATCAACACATAAAAATAAATAGCTTTCCTGTATACCAACAATGAATCTGCTAAGAAATAAATCAGGAAAACAATTCCATTCAAAATAGTCTTGGGGGGAGGGAGGACCTAGGAATAAATCTAACCAAGCAAGTAAAAGATCTCTAAAATGAAAACTATAGAACACACTGAAGAACAAAACTGAAGAAGTCCTCAGAAGATAGAAAGACCTCTCATGTTCATGGATAGGCTAAATTAATGTTGTTAAAATGACCATACTACTAAAAGTAATATACAGATTCAATGCAATCCCAATCAAATAGCAATGACATTCTTCACAGAACTAGGAAAAAAAGTCCTAAAATTCATTTGGAAGAATAAAAGACTCAGAATAGTCAAAGCAATTCTAAGCAAAAAAAGCAATGCTGGAAGTTTCACAATACCTGACTTCAAATTATACTAACAGAACCTTAGCAACAAAAACTGCATGGTGCTAGCATAAAACCAGAATGAGACTTGACCTTTATCTTTCACCCTCCACAAAACATCAACTCAAAATGAACCGAAGAGTTATGAATTAGAACAGAAACTATGAAACTCCTAGAAGAAAATGTAGAGTCAATACTCCAGCATATATAGGCACAGGCAACTATTTTCTCAGTAGAACTCCTGAAGTTCAGGAAATAATGCCAAGAGTTAATAAGTGGAATAGCACCATATTAAAAGCTTCTGCACAGCAAAAGAAATGATTAGGAATGTGAAGAGAGAGCACCCACAGGATGGGGAAAAATCATTGTTAGCTACTCTTCTGACAGAGGGTTGCTATTTAGAATATATAAAGAAAAAATAAATGTTAAAAAAGAATATATAAAGAACTTTAAAAACTTAACACCAAAAAAAATCAAATAACTCAATTAATAAATAGGCAATTAATTAAACAGACACTTCTCAAAAGAAGAAATACAAATGGCCAACAAATATATCAAAAAGTTTAACATCATTAGCAATTAGAGAAATGCAAATCAAAACTAAACTGAGATCCATTTATACCTGCAAATGTCATAATTTTATTCTCTATTATTGCTGAGTAATATTCCATTGTGTATATATACCACAGTTTCTTTGTCCATTTATCTATTTTTTTTTTAATTTTTTATTGTTGGCTGTTCAAAACATTACATAGTTCTTGATATATCATATTTCACAATTTGATTCAAGTGGGTTATGAGCTCCCATTTTTACCCCATATACAGATTGCAGAATCACATCAGTTACACATCCATTGATTTACATATTGCCATACTAATGTCTGTTGTATTCTGCTGCCTTTCCTATCCTCTACTATCCCCCCTCCCCTCCCCTCCCCTCCCCTCCCCTCCCCTCCCCTCTTCTCTCTCTGCCCCCTCTACTGACATTCGTTTGTCCCCCTTATATGTCCATTTATCTATTAGAGAGCATCTAGGTTGCTTCCACAGTTTAGCTATTGTGAACTGAGCTGCATGAACATTGATGCAGCTGCATTATGGAGTTGGAAAATATCACGCTAGGTAAAGTAAGCCAATCCCAAAAAAACTAAAGGCTGAATGTTCCCTCTGATAAATGGATGCTGATCCATAACAGAGACGTGGGAGGCATGGGAAAAATTAAGGAACTTTGATTGTGCAAATGGGAGGGAGGGAGGGTAGGGAGGGTGCATGGGGGCAGGAAAGATGGTGGAATGAAATGGACATCATCACCCTAGGTACATGTATGATTGCATATATGGTGTGACACTAGATTGTATACAACCATAGAAATGTAAAATTGTGCTTCAATTGTGTACAATAAATCAAAAATGCATTCTGCTGTCATATATACCTAATGAAAATAAATTTTTAAAAAACTACACTGAGATTTCATCTCACAACAATAAGAATGACAGTCATCAAGAATACAAAAATAATACACACTAGAGAGGATGGAAAAAAATACTTTTACACTGTTGGTGGCATTGGAACTTAGTACAACCACTATGAAAATCAGTATGGAGGTTCCTTAAAAGACTAAACCTGGAACCACCATAGGACCCAGCTACGCCACTCCTTGGTATTTACCCTAAAAAATTAAAGTCATCATATTCAGTGATACTTGCACATCCATATTTACAGCAGCAGAATTCACAACAACCAAACTACGGAAATAGCATAAGTGTCCATCAATGGATGAATGGATAAAGAAAAAGTAGTATATATATACAATGGAGTTTTATTCAGCCACAAAGAAATAAAATAATGTCACCTACAGGAAAATGGATGGAACTAGAGATCATCTTGTTAAGCAAAATAAGTCAAACTCAGAAGGTCAAGGGTCATGTTTTCTCTCATATGTGAAAGCTAGGAAAAAGGAAAAGAAAGGTGAGGGGGATCTCATGAAAATCAAAGGGAGGTCAGTAGATAGAAGGAAGGGGGGAAATGCTAGGGAGCAATACTGACCAAATTATATTGTTATATTGTGTGCATGTATAAATATGTAACAACAAATCCCATAATTATGTAAGGGTACAATGCACCAATAAAAAAATGAGTGTGGGGGGGGGGGTGCTAAAGTTTTTAACATGCTACAGAGAATAAAATAATCAAACTTAAAGAAAAAATGATTTTCTTCTTCCCTTTTAGTCCAGACAACGGAACAGGCAGAGGAGATTGAGGCATTTAAAAAGTCTAGAAGAATAGAGGGAAGAATAAACCTCTCAGGGAAAAAATTTAAAAATCCATAGATTTCCCCCACAAAATAACAACAATGCCCTAAGAGAAGGGAACAAAGAAAGATGTGAACAAAACCTCATGAGTCACACACAGTGTTTTAAAGGAATCATAGCTTTTAAGCAAAAATATGTGAGAGGTATAGAGGTCAGAAAAGAGCTATGGGAATTAAGTTTTACTTCATTCTATCCATCCCTCCTTATAAGTTTAAAAATAAAAAGGCTCTTACAGAATTATTTTCCTACCCAAACCTAGTGTCTACCTCAAGATAAACAGAGAAATGCAGATATTAAAAATATACACATACAGGGGCTGGGGATGTGGCTCAAGCGGTAATGCGCTCGCCTGGCATACGCAGGGCGCTGGGTTCAATCCTTAGCACCACATAAAAATAAAAATAAAATAAAGATGTTGTGTCCACCGAAAACTGAAAAAATATTTAAAAAAATTCTCTCTCTTAAAAAAGAAAAAAAATATATATATACACACACACACATACAGTATAAAGAAAAAGTAAAGGGAAAATGGGAGCAATCACATTTGTATTTTCAGTAGTCATCAAGACAAAATAAATAAGTAAAAGGCATTTCAAATCACAGATAAAATCATAACCAAATCTCCTAAAACTTGACAATTCATTATCTGAACTTGTACAACAACCTAAGCAAAACAAACTGCCCACAGTACAATTTTCCAAACTCTGGTTGGGCCTTTGGTATTAATGGTTTTTGCCTAGTAATATCCCCTCCTTTAAGACCCTATCCTGGGGCTAGGGTTGTGGCTCAGCAGTAGAGGCCTTACATGTGTGAGGCATTGGGTTCAATCCTCAGCACCACATAAAAATAAATAAATAAAATAAAGGTATTTATTTTAACTACAACTTTAAAAAAAAAAATCCTATCCTGTGTTCTTTCATCTCTAGAAACACTTAGGGCTGAACCGTCTTTAAAAATATTCATTTAAGATCTACATTCTCCTTCTCTCTTTTCAAAGATATACTTTTTTTTCTTTTGAGCAGTGCTAAGGGTCAAACCCAGGCCTTGCTCATGCTAGACAAGTGCTCTACCACTGAGTTACATCTCTAGCCCTCAAAGATAAAAGATTAAAACAAAGAATCAATTACTGAGAAAAGACTTAGGCATTACACAAATTGTCAAACTCACTCAACAGTGAGCAAGCCCTTCTATACATATGGTATAATGATTTACCTCACATTTGAAGACTTTGCAATCCCTTGATTTTGAAATTTGACCTATCTATACTCATATAGGTATTCAAATAATCTCATGAAGCATTACTGTTTTTTAAATACAATGATATTCTATTACTACATATTTTTGCTGTTCTGATTCTGAAAATACTTTTAGGCAGAAACATTTTTTCCCATACCATTTAATCTCTCACCAACCTGCTCTTGATTCCCCACAATAAACCTTCTTTATAGGTCTATAAAGAGGCTCCTCTTTACAATGTACAATGAGCTTCATACTTTCAACCTTAAGCAGATATGAAGAAGGAATCTATCCCAAACTCAGCTCTATTCTTTCCATTCATTTTCTAGGCAACCATAGAAAAACTAAAGGAACAGAGGAATTGCAAATATAAATCCTCATATGTGAAAGAAAAAAAAGAGAAACAACAAAACTACATAGGACTGTAGAGTAGGATAATTGGTACTGGAAAGCTAGATGATTTAGGAGGCTGACAGGAATTAATGATGTCAACTCCATCCAGTGATATGAGTGTTATGACCTAAAAATTAATAACATTAACTTGATAAAGGAAATAAATAAAAGAGAAAGGGGAAAGAAAGAAAAAAGGGGAAGGGAAAAAGAAGAATCTAAGAGAAATAAATAACTGAGATGGAGAAAAAGCCAACAGAGAGAAGGCAGAGAACACATACAGTATTACTAACTAGTTATCAGATACAACAAACACAAAAGAGAAGCAGAGTGAGGTAATAGAGAAGAATTAGAAAGGGGAGGAAGAGGGCAGGGGACATAGCTCAGTTGGTAGTGTTCTTGCCTCGCATGTACAAGGCCCTGGGTTCAATTCCCAGCACCAAAAAAAAAAAAAGAGAGAGAGAGAGCGAGAGAGAAAGGGAAGGAATAAAGAAAGTAAGATACCAGGAAAAAAGTTAGTACAAAGAAAGAAAATTAAAAAAAAAAAAGACTTCCTTATTTCTAGGAAATAATCTATACTTTCCTTGAAATTTGGCTGACAATAAAAGATCTCCTACCTTCACAGTGGTTCTCTCCCCACTGGCATCAAATCTCCTAATTTTCAAACTAGACCTTCAAGGTCCACTAAGTATTAATATAATTAATCAATACAGCTTTTTAATATTTGATATGAGAAAGGCATTAAAGAATATACTACAACTTTGTACAATACATTTCTATAGCCTATGGTTCAATGCAGTATAGGGATGTAATATTCCTGAATTCTAAAATCGCCCCCCAAAATTAATGGACTTAGTGCTCATGTCTTTACAGTTTATTCTGTAAAAGTGATTTTGCTTTTAATCTCTATACCTCAGAAAATAGAGCTATGTATCATGGCAATCTTCCTTTTAATTTACTATTATTATTAATTACTATAAAATAAATGTCAACTGGGGCTGGTAGAGCCAGCCTAGCACGTGCAAGGCCCTGGATTCGATCCTCAGCACCACATAAAAATAAAATAAAGATACTGTGTCCAACTACAACTAAAAAATAATATTTAAAAAAAATAAATGTCAATAGTGCTATAAAAGAAGCAACTGAATAGAAGTTATCACAAAAATCTATAGTATATCTACAAAATCCCACTGCCTATACTCCTATGGTGGTTTTAGTATTTTCTAAAATAGACTGCTAATGCTGTTCAAATGAACACACGGTACTTTGTTACATCTTACCTTGTTACTTAAATTTATTTCCCTAAAACATGACCTAAAAATTTTGCTTAACCTGCACATACTAAATAAAAGCAAGTGAAGAAGAAAAGAGAAACACTTACTGCTCTGGCAGTTTCCCCAAAATCAATCTTTAGCCGTCCCATGGCTCTGATGATCGCAATGATGGACTGTATAGTATTGCTGTAGACAACTACTTTATACTGTTTACATTCTTCTTCTGAATAACCATCCTCATGAATGATTCTTTAAAAAGAAAACCACAAGTCAATACCATGGACCTAAAATGAAAAGATACTATGGACTTTTTACCCATTAGGAGGAAATCTAGTCTTACAAAAAGCCATGTTCCAACTTACTTCATCTGTTTCACAATGGTACTTTTACCAGATTCTCCAGCACCTGAAATAAAACAAAAACAGACTTTGAATTTCTCTGGATTCACACATAAAAGTATGAAATCAACATAAGTGATAACTATAAATTAATGAAAACCACAGGTCCTAGGGTAACTGGGTGAGACTGTTATGTCTATCAGGAAAAAACAATGGAGCTTCTCCATTAAAGCATTTTACTTTCTTCATGTAACTCAGCAACAAAGTATAATCTACTCAAAGTGTCCCAGGGCCTGCTTGCTATAATTTGTGTAAAACAGACATATTCAAGAAGCATTTCTAGTAACTCATCATAAAACATGATTATATACTGAACATAGGCAAAAATTAATGATTATTTAATTCCTTTGTTGACTACTTGCCATGCCCATGAACTGGAGGAACATTTCAAAAGCAATATTCTCATCATAGGACTTAAGAGACATTTGACTTCTCATTAATACAGAATAAAAGTATTGCCTCCACCACCTTTTCACTGTATATCTCCTCCAGACCCTTAAAACCACACTTCCCTCCTTGCAAAACCAGAATCACTTTCAGCTAACAATCACTATGTCAAATAGGCCTCTGAACTCCTTGACAATCTTCCTGCCAGATCTTCCCCAGTCAATTCATTCTCTCACCTTCCGAAATGCCCCAACACCATTACCTCTCTCTCCAACATTATACCCTGATGATTCAATCAATCAGGAAAAATTATCTCATTTCCTCATAATCATATGTACCAATCCATCTGCACTTCCACTAGTATTCTTGACCTTCATCAATGGATGAACTGGCTCTGTGATGTCTTAGAGACTAACCCTCTCCTTACACACTACTTCATTTTATCTGCTCACAGTCACGACTGCTGCAATTTCCTATGGTTTTAAACACCATTCATAAATTGATAATAATATTTAACATCTAACAAGTATGTCAATCTGCTCTAATGTCATCAATTACTCAAATGACAATTTTTCTCCTCTAACTGGGTCAATCCTGATCAGCTCATACAAATCGTATGCTATACTGACTTTCCATCTTTAGTCAACACACACCCACACTCATCTCTACCTTTCCTTGACCGCACTTATTTCCCTCTAGCTACTACTCCATTTATCCTCTTTACAGCAGAATTCCTCTAACATGTCATATATACTCGCTGAACCTTCAATATTCTGTACCTTCAATTCTCTCCTTTACCCATTCTAATAAGGCTTCTATCCTCACCAATCTACTAAACCCATTTCTCAAGGTCTCCAACAATTTCCATCTTGACAAACCCAATAGTCATTTCTCATCTTACTCAGCTCTCAAGCAGGATTTGTCCAAGTTGATGACTTCTCTCCCTTGAAATACTTTCTTTTCTAGGCATGCTTCTAGCTACCACACCTTTCTGGTTTTGACTCCTCAGTTTCTGTTCTCCAATTTCTGAATTCTAAAAAATGTATTGCTTTAAGGCTTCTTCCTCAGTCCTTTTCTCTATCTATACCCACACTCTAAGTTATCTCATCTAATCTTATGAATTATGGTTTTAAACACCATTCATAAGCCGATAGTAATATTTAACATCTAACAATTATGATATGTCAGTCTGCTCTAAGAACTTTGCCCTATTAGCTCATTTAACTTTCACAACAATCCTGTGAGGTAGATATTATTATCCTCATTTTACAGACAAGGCAAATGAAGCAAAGAGATATCAAATAACATGCCCACAATTATACAGTAAGTTGCATAACTGAAATGTACATTCACAGAATTTGGCTCCAAAGTGGTGTATGCTGCCTCTTTTACTCCCAAACATGGATCTGTAATCTTGGTTTCTAACATTGAATCTGTACTCATATAGTTAAATCACCTACTGAATAAATTACAATGGATATTTATAGGCATCTCCAATTTAAAATGCCCAAAACTGAGTTACTAATTCCCCACCCCCATCTCAAAACAAACTCTACTCTTCCCTTCATCTTCTCAGTTAATGGCACCAGCATTCATCCAGTTGCTCAGGCTAAAAATGGCAAGTGAACTAACTTAAAATATAACTAACATGCACATAGAATGGGGGCTTCAGTGCTGATCTATACATTAAATATTAGTAAAGCTTAGTTTTATTAAAAAAATAAAAACATACAAATACAGTTTTAAAACAGTTTGTTCCTTGCACATTGAAAACATGGCCTAGATGACAATGAAAGCTTCTAAGTGGGCCAGTGCTTCAGACCATGCCTTTCCTATAGTTTTTCACTTAGTGGCTGGAATAAATTGTGTAAAAAGTACATCTGGGGCTGGGGTTGTGACTCAGTAGTAGAGCACTTGCCTAGTACATGTGAAGTATTGAGTTTGATCCTCAGCACCACATAAAAATAAATAAGTAAAATAAAAAGTATTGTGTCCACTACTAAAAAAATTATTTAAAAAAAAAAAAAAGTAAATCAGATCATGTCACAATTCTGACCAGAGTTGGCCCATGGCCTCCATTTATACTTAAAATGCATGGCAGTATCCTTCAATAGCCCTTGCCTACCTCCTCACCCTCATCTCCTCTAGTCTCCACTTTGCTCTCACTGCTCTTGTCAGACCAGCTTTCTTACTTTTCCTCCAACATACCAAACTGGTTCTCACTGAGCCAGATCCTGACTCAGTCTTTGCATTTACACTTCCCACCACCTGAAATAATTTTTGCAAGATTTTCTTCACTCATATTTCTGCTTCCTTCAACAGCCTTCACCGACTAATCTACCTAAATAGCTTTCACCCCACCACACTCTCTTCTTACCCAGTTACATTTTTTTTTCACAGAATACATCATTTTTTTCACACAACAGATTTGCTTACTTCCTGTCTTCCCTACTAAGATATATGCTTGGTCAAGGCTTATTTATCCCTATATTTCTAGAGCCTCAAACTGAGCCTGACATAAATTACTTAAATATTATTGAAAAAATGATTGACTAATATTCAATAAGCATGACCCTTACCAAATATTTCTCAACTTCATCAACCAAAAATATAAATTAAAAGATAATTTAAACCATATAAAAATTTTAAACAAGCTACATTCTTGCAGAATCAAAAAGTACACTTAAGTCAGGTGCGGTGGCACATGCCTGTAATCCCAGCAACTTGGGAAGCTGAGGCAGGAGGATCACAAGTTCAAAGCCAGCCTCAGCAATTTAGTGAGGCACTAAACAACCTAGCAAGACCCTGTCTCTAAATAAAATACAAAAAGGGGGGGGGGGGGCTAGGGATGTGGCTCAGTGGTAAAGCATCCTGGGTTCAATCCCAATACAAAAAAAAAAAGAAAAAAATGTACATTTATATATGACTTTATTCTTATTACTATGGTCAATAATCAGGGATAGCACTATATAGTTAATATTCAGCAGCACACAGTGACTTTCTTAAGATACTATTTGAAAGAAATAAATTTCTCCTATATATACATCTAGGAAAACTAATGATTTAATTTCAAAAACAAGAATACAAATGCATTTGAGTTACAGTCTACATTGTATAAAACTATTTCCAGATCATTCTATACTAATAAGTGGTTATATGCTAAAAAAGTATAGGTTAATAAAATGTGTACCATTGTTTTATATATTGAAAACAGCATTTCTGCCTTTCATGTTGGACTACTCTGAATGACCATCAATAATTTTACTAATCTTAGCATCAATATCCACCTATCTCTTTAAGTTCTACTCTATTAAAGTGCTAACTTTAAAACAAAACAAAGCCTTTTCCAAGGCTCCCTTAGAAAACATCAGTTTGGGGCTGGGAATACAACTCAATAGCAGAGCAGTTGGCTAGCATGTGCAAGGCCCTGGGTACAATCCTCAGTACCACAAAACAAAAATAAAGAAAGAGAGAAAGAGAGAAACAGAGGAAGAAAGAAAAAAAAAAAAGAAAGAAGGCACTTCTTACTGCTCACAAAACTAAATATAGGATTTGTTTCATGGGTGTTCCTGGGTATTTTATACACATGAAGAGTGAACCAGGGGCTGGGGTTGTGGCTCAGTGATAGAGCACTCGCCTCGCATGTAAGAGACCCTGCGTTCGATCCTCGTCACCACATAAAATAAAAAAAACAAAATAAAGATATTGTGCCCATGTATAACTAAAAAAAAAAAAAAAGGGTGAATCACTATATACTAAACATCTTTAACCCATTCAGCTTCTAGATCACTATGAAAAGTGCTACCATCTCATCCATCTCCCAAGTACGAAATAAGAGTCATCTAGAACCCATTTGGTCTTTTCTCCTTATCAAGCTGTAACAAAATCTTCTCTCTTTCTTTGTTTTTCTTAAATTAAATTTCTACTTCTCATATGTTTGATGGAGCGTGACACTCAGCCTATTATGTGCTACTGCTGTAATTTTTCTCAAACTTAAATTCAAAGGCCTTCTCCAATTACTTCCAAATAGCACTACTAAAAAAGCATCAGCTTAACAGTTTCCAAATTCTTTAAACACTTTTCATAATTCTTTCTTATTAGGTCTAAGCTCTTCTGTTTTACCTCAGCCCCCCATAGTCCACTGTTCTAGTAGAAGGGTCTCCAAAAACATCTCACTCTAGGGTTTTCTTTTTTTTTTTTTTTTAATTGGGTGTTCAAAACATTACAAAGCTCTTGACATATCATATTTCATACATTAGATTCAAGTTGGTTATGAACTCCCAATTTTACCCCAAATACAGATTGCAGAATCACATCGGTTACACATCCACATTTTTACATAATGCCCTATTAGTAACTGTTGTATTCTGCTACCTTTCCTATCCTCTTAGGTTTTCCCCAAGTTGTTTTCCTATGTCCCACCCCTTTCCCCACTACATATGTGGTGTTTGGGACTTCTTAATTTTATCTACATCTTTTTGGCCATACTCCTTCAAAAAGTCATCAAAAGTTGCACATACAAACAAAGATGTTGTGTCCGCTGAAAACTAAAAAATATTAAAATTCTCTCTCTCTCTAAAAAAAAAAAAAAAAGTTGCCTATATTCCCACCAAGGAAAGT